GATCCAGAAGCTGCAAACTAGTAGTCTAGGAGTTAAATGTAGTCTCTGATATACTTTGTTTGACTTGAAGGGTGTTCAGAACAAAAACAACAAAACAAACTAAAACCCAAACCAAACCAAAACGCATCCATAAAAAAACCCCAACTAAAACACTGGGAGACTCACACAAAGATCTGGGTTTGCTATTTCTTTGGAAATCACTGGAGCTGTGCAAGGCCTCCTTGCTTCCCTGTAACTGCCCCTGCCTGGCATGCTACGGTCCTGCAGGTCACTGCCCGGCCCTGGGAGCTCTTATATTCATGATCCTTAATATTTGGGCACTGGTATCCATTGTTTGCTGCGAATAAACATTCAACAGCGTCTTGATGCTGAATACCAGTTTTAAGGTAAATTTGTGTTTATTTATGGCTATGACGTGTGAATAGGTGGGAGATGATTCCATGGCAAGTCAAACTTGCCCAAAATTCATTAAGAAAAAGCTCTTGGTCACTGGGTCTCAACAATTAGAAGATGTCTAAGTTGGAAAGTATCTATTTCTTGTGTATTTTCATAGATATCAAATCAGCCCCATGGAAACACCTTCTTTGCCTAAATATATTCTGTGCCTCCTGCAACTAAACAAACAAATAAATACACAAAGAAATACATGAACATATTCCGGAAAAAAAAAATAAACCAAACCAAACAACCATTTTCCATATAATCCTGGCTTCTTGGGCTTCTGGAGGCAATTGTTCTCAACAGCCACACAGAGTTCTGTAAAACCCCCAAATGTGACATGCGCCTGTGGCTGCCGGCATCCCTTTTCCCTCCAGGTGAGCCTCGTGTAACATTTACACTGGATTTAATAGGAGAACATGACATGCACTGATTTTCAACAAACTCCTGATCTTCCAGAAGAGAGTCAGGAAAGAAAGCAACTGCACACCAAATCCTCTTCTATTTTGGTACCCTTAACACACTCCCTTATCTCGCTGGCCTACATATCGTTTAACAAACTGCCCTGCGATTCTTGCAGGGCGTGGCATCATGACTGATTTAAAATCCCCGCATTGCTAAAACTGCATTGTTCTTCATCAAGTTGAGTCATTTTTATGTGAAGTGTCAAGCTCCCTAACAAATAACTCCTGCCAGACAAATCAAGTTCCTCGTCTTAGAGCCGAGGCTAAATAGTTTATAGCTTTAATCTGCTCACCGAGGTGTGCAGTCTATGACAGTAATTATAAATGCAAGGAGAAATTATAGCTGAATGCTTTAACTGCATTAGGAGCCGTTTGATGAACAATCATGAGCGCCTGCTCATTTCCAACAATAGAGGGCAAGTTAGTGTCAATGCATTAGAGAGATTTCAGTTCTGCATGGCTTTTTCTCCCATTTACCACGGAATGTCACTTGTCTCCTATAAAGTAGAAAAAAGCATCGTGGAAAGCTTTAAACTTGATAGTTAAAAAAAAAAAAAAGACAAAGAGAAATGCAGGGAAAACTGTTTATCATTATGACTTCTTTTTCTCTGTTTGTTTGGCGGCAGGTTGGGTTTCAAATTAGCTCAGTGAAGGTAACTGCTTGTTTACTTACAAGAGGCCTTTAAAAAAATTCCTCCCCGAGCCATTTTTGAGAGGTCTTTATGGAGAAAGGCTTCTTTACAGGAAGGGCAAGTCCAAAATCCTCACAGGAAGCAGCTCCTGCGATTGTGTGTCCCTTCACTAAATTCTGCTCCTCATCTGCAACCACCTCAGCTAATGACACAATTTAGCTCTTTATTTTCCCCTCCTCACTTTCGCAGAAAGACGTTTTTAATTTAGCTGAAGAATTACACAAATGTATTTTAAAGACATAAATCCATATAAAAAATATGAGCTAATTAAAACATTGCACTCCCTGTCGCTCATGGATTTTCAATTTAGGGTAAGAAAAAAGAATTGCATCTGGTTAAATGAAAAGATGATACTGATGGCAGATTGGAGTAAATGAAAAATAATGTTACTCTATATTAAAGCACCAAATTATACATGTCAGAATTGAGCGTTCAAAAGTCCAAATGAGGGGGGAAGGTGTAATGGAGGCTGAGATGCATACAAGGAGTTGCAAACGTGAAGGAAGATGATGCATTGGTTTCTTGCTGCTTGAGAGATGCCAGAGTCTCATACTTGACCCTGTTTGCCTAGTTTTCATTTTGTTTCCCTAAAATGAATTCCTGAGGGTCAGAATGAGGATTTTCTTTTTTAATCTTACATATATATATATTTTCACTGGAATGTGGGTCATTTCTTGGTTAGACACCATATGGCAAATATATAATTACCTGACTGAACAAGAGCATTAAAAGAAAATGAACCAGTATGTTCTACTTCACCCTGCGGTCAGTCCTGGGGCCCTGAGTTGCAATGTTCGGTTGAAAGCTGAAGCCTCCATGAGGCCCAGGAGAATGCCCTTTTTCCTCTCAACTCCTAGGCCACATTTTATAACTTTTTCTCTGGGTTGTTGGAGGTACGTCTGACCAGAAGTATGGCCTAGAAACCATCAGGCAAGGAGGAGGAAACCAAGAAGCAGAAGAAAGTTGATGAGTATTAGACAGTCCTTGGTTCCAATCCTACCTCCAGGCTTAGTTCCGTGTTTTTGGACAAATCATGAAACTCTTTGAGCTTTGGTTTACCTCTCTGCAGAATGAGGGTACTATGAATAATCATGCCTGGCTTATAAAAAGAGGCCAGTCAACAGTAGTTTCACTGCCACTGTTATCTGAATCAAATAGCAGGTTGAGGTTTTGGCGAGGTTATTAATTAGTTAAAGTTGAGAAGTTGCTGTGAGTTTTCTATGCTTCAGGTGAGGCTACAGAACACAGTAAGAGGCTCCAGCAGCTCTGTCTAGAACTTGCTTTTCTTGTAAGCCTACTATGTATATAGTATGTGAATATTATATACATAATATTATATTATGTGAGAATATTATATTATGTGAGAATATTATATTCTCACAACCTTCCTATGAGAGGGACTTTATGTCCACATCACGTAGATGTAGAAGTGGGGCATGCCTTCATGTAAGTGGGTGAGATGGGGTTTAAACCCAGCATTCTTTCCTGAACACTGCCTCTGAGACCACTCTTCCCTATGCCGGCTTCACCCGGAACCAGGCAGAGTCACCTCCTCTGTGCTCCTTTCAGCATTTCCCCTAGAATTTTTCATCTGTGTGTCTGTGGCTAGCCTCAAAGGCAGACTCTTGTCCTGGTTATGGCTTACTCCCTGGGAATTAGCACAGTGCTTGCTGTGGAACGATGGTTTTCTAGATATGTCATAATGAATGAGTGAGCCTCAGAGATTGTAGGACCTTGGGAAATTCAGGCAGAATCTCTCTGCCTCTGTTTCCTCCTCCCTATCATGAGTGAATCAACCTTTACCTCATGGGGCTGTTTGTGAGAATAAAGTAAAATAATGTTTGCAAAGTGTTTGCTGCAAGGTCTGGCAGATTTTGCTATTATAATTGGTAGAACTGCTGGTTCACTATTACATTTCCATTGTTAAATATAATAGAGTCTGGTGCATAGTAAAAGCACAACGAATATTTGTCGAAGGATGAAAGGAATGCAGCGAGGAAAGAAAAGAGAGGACAAAAGAAAAAAGGAAGGAAGGAAAGAAGAGAAAGAGGAAGGAAGGAAGGAAAGAAGGATGGGAGGAAAGAAAGAGGGAAGAAATGAGGGAAGAGAAGGTGAAAGGAAGGAATATTTATTTAATGGAGGAAGGAATGGTTGATGCCATTAATAGACATTAATTTGTCCAGCCTGTCTGATTCTTCCCAGATTGCCATATAATCTATGCTGTTAGGATTGCTAGATTTAGCTAATAAAAATACAGGATGCCCAGTTAAATCTGAATTCTGATAAACAATGAATACTTTTAAAATATAAGTATGGTCCATGCAATATTTGGGCCAGACTTACACTCAAATCATGTTTGTCATTTATCTGAAATATAAATTTAACTGGACGTCCATTCCGTATTTTATCTGGCAACCTTACATGCTTTTCACCCTGAACATGTGTTTTTATCAAGCCGCCCACAACAAAAGTGGCAGCTCATTGGACTAGAATACTTCCCTGCCAACAATTTCAAGGCTAGGTGTGCTGTTAAACTTGTATACTATATTACACGGTAATGACTATAATTTCAAGCCTTTATGCATTTCAGACTCATTGATTTGCTCTCTGTTTAATTTCTACTAGTCAAGAGCATGTGGCTTTTAAAGATATATACAAACACACGTTGAAATTGTTTTAGATTACTTATGTCCTAAAATAGAGATGCACACTTAATATTTTCTAACGAATTTTTAATGAAAAGTTGCATTTAATATTTGGCAGAGCATTTTGCAGGATTTAAGATATAGTGGATAGAGGAAAGAAAATTCAGATCAACAGTTATGTCTATCAGAAAACAGAGATCTGTTAGAGCTCTCAAATTTTCCACGAAATCTTGATCATACTTTCTAAAACACTATGCCATTTTGCACAATTTGTGCTATCATACATTACAACTAAGGTTAGAGTTCCAGATAACAGTGATGTCATTTCATGACCATTTAAAAACCTTACATGCATCAATACAGGCACTACATAAATATCCTAAAAGAGGATCCTGGGAGTAGAGGCATTTTTTTCTAAGGTGGCCAAGGCATGAAGAATCGACCTTTGTACAGATGGGGCAAACATTCAGGCGGATAGGAGTATTTTTAAGATGAACACCAACACAGCCAGTACCTGCACCTTCTCTTCTGTACACAAAACATACATACAAGACCACAGCTTTGAATGAGTCTCAAGCATTCAAATCTGTTTTTCTGCAGTCCTCTCAGAGCCACAGCCTAATGGTGCTTGTAAGGATGGAGCTTTGGTTTTGTATAATAAAAACACTAAGACAGCACTTTCAAGGTCCAAATTAGATATGCTCATCCTGTACAAATGCAGAGAGGGGCCAAAATAGCTAACTTACCTATGCATTTAACAGATTTTTAAGTACCTTCTGTATATGTTTTTCCAAATTATCGGTTTACCTTTGAATCCCTAGAACAGGTAGTATACATTTCAGATTCTGACTGACGATGGATCAAGCTTTCTTTTCCTTCGCTCTCCCTATTTCCATACCACAGTGTTTTAGCAATTATATTAAATTTTTTTAAAAAAGATTATAAACCTAACAGGTGGAAAAGTGGTCTTTATTATACCACAAATAAATATTACTTATTTGTATTTTTCACCATGGTTTCAACCCACTACTGTTGGATTTCAAATATCTTTCTTCTTTCTAGGTATTCTGTGTATGCCCACTTAAAAAAAAAAAAGAATCAGGAAAACACAATGGCAAGTTATATAAGATTTAAAATGTTATATAACAAATAAATAGGATGTTGTTGAGCCCCAAGCTCAGGTGCGACTTCAATGGATGCATTTCGGCTTTTCTTTCTATACTGTGAGCTGAACAAATAATGCTTGGAGAGAAAGAGAAGACCCTGCCAATAACACATTTAATCATCATGATAAAAACATGCAAACCAAAAAGATGGTCTTCATTTGGGGCCAGATAGCAATTAGAATTATAGGATGACTCCTCTCCAACAGAAGGGTAGATCTCCTCACTCAGGGGAAAGTCCCAGGCCAGATATTTTAACTTTTTATTTCATCTTGGCCATCTTCACACTCAGGTAAGTCTCTGTCTGATCTGAAATGAGCCCAAAGCCATGCCATGTAAATACCCCTCTCTACCTGGAACTCTCCTAGTGTCCTACCTCTCTAGCTTGTTCTGAAAGTCTTCTATTTATAAGCCAATACTCTGACAATAGGAGGTGGTGAGTGATTATATGTTATTAGGTTTTCATATTTTGTTTTGAATTAATTAAGAGCTAATGAATTAGGAGCAAATCTTTAACTTAGCATGACATAAACTGGACTGGTCAGCGCAGAAGGTTTAGTTCAGGTTGAGTTCCCGTCTTGGGATGGCCCAAGGCGGAGGACCACCTGAACACATAGGAGGGCACTTAGCATGTGGAAGCATCATGCTGGAAGGGAGAGAAAAAGAAGCAGAGAAAACACAAAAAGGCAAATGAAAGAGATTTGTTAAGACCCAACCTTGCTTATACTCAACATTTGAAAATCGCTGGTGGGACTAATCTGCTAAGGCATTTGACCTCTGCCCTGTTTCCTAAAAATGACACAAATACTCTGGGCATGGGTGACAATATAAGGCATAAAACGTCTATGATACATGATGCAAATTATCTTGAAGGCGTGGGACTCCATGCACACGAACAATAAGTGTGCAGAAAGCCATTTGTTTCTTTATGAGAAATAAAACCTCAAGGGCATGCATTTCCTCATCTTTGCTAAAGGTAGACTCTAATACTGGTCTATTCACAAGAAAACTAAAAGATGACAGAAGAAAATAAGCTGCTTCTCTTTTCATCTCAATGTTTCGCAAAGAAGCATATTTTTCTACCATCCTGTTAAGGGCGCATGCTCATTCACAGGAAACTTAATGTAGACAATAACCAAGGAGAAGAGAATGGAAGGTGGCAATTGTTAAAAGTAAGCTGCAGAAAAACAGTTATTACAAATAACATTCATAAAGACAACTTTAAGCTATTCATGAGCTGATTAAGAAATCTCAGTATAGTAACTACTTCTAGCAAAGCTCCAGTGTTTCTTCCATTGCTAACCTTTTTATTACTTTATAAGTCATTGGCATTACTATGGAAAGGTGGGGTGGTGAAATGGAATGGTGACAGAAGTTAGTATCTAATAATTAAAATGAAAGATAGCATTGGCTGGACACTGGAGCTTGCTTGGGTAACTCAGGATGATGGATGATGAAAGCCTAGAAAATGCAGTAGTCATCTGTGAACTTCATCTCTCTAAACCCATTTTATTCTAGTTCCCAGCTCTAAACTGGAGGACTTGAGAGAATGATTAGGACTTATTTTTCACATTCTGGTCTTTCATAAAAATAAATCTTACTCCAGCAAGCTACTATCCTGCTTGGCACTGGGAGACGCTAGCTGCCTCTAAGCAGACCCATCTCCCTATAAGAAGCTCCTCACAAGGCTAGTCGCAATGCCTTGGAGCAAACTCATACCTGCAGAGCTATTCTTCATCCACGTCTGTTACAAACTGTGAATGGTGTTCGGGTGACTTGCTGTGCGTTTTGCTTAGGTGGAGTTTTACTGCATGTTTGCTCACAAATGTCCGACAGCACAACTTACACTTGAATTTAGAGTCTGTGTCCTCTTCACCAGCTATTGTTTCCGGAGACCTCTGAGCCGACGATACCCGGGAGATCTCTTGCTCCACCTTGCTTTGCTGGTCCACTGACAAGCGGGTCATGTCCTTCATTTGGAAACCCAGGTGAGATTCTAAGTGACTGATGTAGGTAGAAGGGGTTCTGAACTGGGAGGCACAGTCACTGCAATAAAAGATGGGGTGGCCTTTGTCCATGTTTTTCAGAAATTTTGTCCCGCCCGTTTTCCTAAGCTGGTACTTGACATTGGCCAGCCAGTGACTGATAGTGGTCATTGAAAGTCCCGTAAACTTCGAGATTTGCATACGTTCTTGAGGGCCCAGATCGGACAGCAGGTATTTGCCCTCTGATGTCTGGAAGAGGCTCGAGGCAAACTGAGCTTGTAAAATCAGAAGATGCTGAGGATTCCAGTTGGACTGCCGGCCTTTTCTTTTATGCAAAGTCGAGACTTCACTGGAGACATCCTCAAAGCGCCTGACATCCATTTCCAGCTTCATGGGAGGGACCCTGGAGGATGTGGCGGGCTTTGGGGTGGTGGCTTTGGGGAGGACTTTGACCATGTCTGCGATGTCAGACAGAGCGTGCTTCTGAGGCGGGGATGTACAGGATTGTGCTTGCGAGGACTCGGCTTTCTTGCTTTTGGACTTGGTCAGGTCAATGGGCTGATCGTTGTTCTCAAACAGGTAGCGCCTGGACACACCGGCTGGCCTTGAGGAGGTGGGACTCAAGACAGGCTTGTCCATGACACCGAGATTCGACTTGTGGAACATGGAAATTGTGCTTGAACTTGGGCTGGAGCAGGAAGCTGAGCGTAAGGGCTCTGTGGCTTTGCCCAGGTGATTGTTCAGGACAGACTGCAGGGCGCTGAGTGGGTTGATGCATGGCAGGCCCGGGGCGTGGTTGGCAAGGGCGCACCCGTTGCTCAGAGCAGAAGTGGGCTCCAGCGGCTGGGGTTTCTCCTTCTCGTTGCCCTCTTTCATCAGCTTGTCCTCCTCTTTCAGGGGACCCAGCTCGGTCTTTCTGGCTTCTGGGGGCGTTTCGCTTTTACGGAAAGGATCGCCTTCACTGTGGCTGAAAGATGAGGCCTCTTCATGGGGACTTTCTTTCCCACACTCCTTCACGACTTCATCTTTGTCTTCTGACTCCTTCTTAACTTGAGTATAAGGGGCCAGGTTTGTGGGCACAGAAATGAGTGGCATCACCTTCCACTTTGGTGCAATGGGCCTCAGCTTGTTGGTGAGATTAGGCCGGATCTGCAGTACCTGGGATCCCATAGGCAAAGGTGGCTTAGTGCCCTCGGACAGCTGATAGGCTGCGTGGATGCTGGGGTAGGCACTCCAGCTGGGGGCCCCGTTTTGGGCTTTGTTGATGGCTGTGGTGACAGTATTTTCCAAAGATTTCAAAATGTCCCCTCCACCCTTTGAGCCATCTTCCAAGTCCTCCTCCCTTAGATATTGATATTTGATTGTAGGGTCTAAAGGCTTTTGTAGAGGATCTTCATAGTCCTCACTTTTCACGACTTTCTCATCCTTGCTGGTTTCCTCTGGCCTTTCTTTTTTACTCTCTTTCTTTAACTCAGTGGTAGAGGCTGTACAGTCTGCTGCTGAGTTACTGGATGGCTTGGGAGCCAGAGAATCACTGTTTGGGGCCTCGGACAACGACTGCATTTTCTCCACAGCCAGTGGGTCTAACACCAGCTGCTTCCCTTTCTTGGAGGCAGAGCTGGTGACCTTGAGAAAGTGACCTGTGACCATCATGTGGGTGGTGAGCTGCTGCAAGGTATCATGGGAGCTCCCACACTCCATGCACTTTAAGATCTGGGACTTGCAGGCCTCAAACTGCCAGGTGTAGCTGGCTCCATTCTGGTAGCCATAGCGGTTGTTGGAGGACAACTGCAAGTTGGCGTTCTTCTGGGAAGAAAAAGAATCTGCAAAAGATCCCGTGGTCGAATCGGGGGAACACGGCCGATTGACATCGAAAACGCGCTTCTTCGCCGGGGTGACCATTTTCGAGGAAATGGTTGGGACTGGCTCCTTCAAAGGCACTTTTTGGTAATGTTTTGTTTTAATCATGTGGACACTCAAATCTTGGAGGGAATCGAAGGAGTCGCCACAGAACATACATTTCAGAACCTTCTGAGCATCCTCCTTGTCCATATCCTGGAAAGCCCTCTTCCGGGGCTTTGAATAGCTCGCGGGTCTGAGCTTGTCCTTCTTGCGGTTGTCATCTTGGTAGTGGCCCGTTTCGTTCATGTGCACGGTCAGCTCCACGAGGGTGTCATAGGCGGCGCTGCACTGCCGGCATCGGAACCGGCTGGCCCCGGTGAACACAGTCCCGCACATCTTGCTGCTCTGCCGGTACAGCTGCACCGAGCTGAACAGACTGGGTTTCGAGACGGACCTGGCCGGCAAGTTCTGCTGCAGGCTTTTGGACAGAGCGTCTTGGTGCCAATCAAAATCGCTCTTGTTGCTGCCATTCCGGGTGTCACAGTGCCGCCTCTCGCTATTGGACAGCTTGAAGCCGAGGCCCAGGCCCGACCAATAGGAATCAGACAGGATGTTGGCGTAGACCGCAGTCATTTTGTCCATGCAGTTGTGTGTTTCGTTCGGAAGCCTGACGTGAGTGTTGCTTTTCTTGTCGGAGGCATCTCGGCCGCAGACGCTCTTGATGTCCGACACCTGATCGCTGGCGTCGCTCAGCAGAGACTCGTTCTCGGCATCCTGATTGGACAAATGACTTCCTGGAGAGTTCTGGTAGCTGAAGCAGCCTTTCTGCTCTGGGCCGGTTTCTAGCTCCTCGTCTGTCCCCGTGTCATTGCCACCCTGCAGTTGAGCTACTGAACCACTGTCCTCTTCCTCCTCTTCTTCTTTTATTTCCTCCTCTTCTTTCAGCTGTTCCTCCTGGGCGTAGCCTGCAAGAGAAGAAGAAGAGATGAAACGACAATATCAGGCTCCATATTCCATTCCGGTTTCCCCACACAGACTAAATGCTTCCCATGCCGAACTGAACAGTGATTTAATCTACACTTTTATGCACTGTGAGCAGTGGACACAGGAAAGCCAAATGGTGTCTTTCGTGCCATCTACTGCTTTTTTTTTTTTTTTTTTTTTGCCAGGAGCCATAATTCTTTATAAATGCCTGGGATCCCAAGTTTATAATTTTCTGGTTTAAGGAATATCTTTCTAATATTCCTGTAATGAGATAGTTGGTAAATTCATGTGTATGACTTTTAGGAAATCTGGGTTGAATTTCCTAGCCTATTAAAGTCAGATCTCTACAGGGAAGAATGTTGGCTCACAGGGAGACTAAGATTTGACTCCTGACATCTAGATGGTAAAGTTTACCAAGACACTTGGATATATTGGCATATAACCATATAAATAAATCATTTTTGAGTGCTCAGAAGTAATTTGGATGCACAGCCATTATATTTTTGATAGCCACTGTCTTTTTGCTATAACATTTTTATTTGTAGAGAATCACACAGCAGGATTATGGGATATGCAAATAAAATCTTCTGTTGATAGTTGAAAAATTATGTAAGCTCAGCAAATATAATGATTTAAAAATAATCGCAAATGGTGTTAGAATGGGAGATTTTGCGACTATCTTATTATTCTCCAACAGGTTTATGAAGACCTTTCCAGACAAGGTTGAAAATGCCCTCTCGATCTTGTGCCTGTAATTTCAAATGCACTGTGATTTGTGGGTACCCGTCATGAGATGCCAATTATATATTTGATTTGTAGATGCAAAATGCTATTGGGGATGCATGCTTTCCCTTCTCTGAAAGGATTTAGGACCAGTAATTGCATAGGGAAAATGAAGACATGAGCGAGCTGGTGCAAAGGGAATTAATGGGCAAATATCCATCAATGGAGATGGGGAATGTGACATTATGCCTATGGGCTCATTTTCTTCACCTGGCCTTTTCAGAACCATGCAGATAAAATGCAACCAAAGAAGTCCTAAAGAAAAGGAGATCCAGTTTTACATTTGCAAGGCTTGCACAGTCTTAATGCACTGTTTTCTTTAGGAACTTCTATCTTCCCTCTCTGTGGCAGGTAACGACTTGGCAAAACCTTAGAGCAGCTCTGTTATTTCCAGTCACAAAGGACAAAGCTTGGAAAAGGAGTGGCCATGCACTGGAGGTTCGTCCTGTGAGGCAGGAACAGCGAATTAGAAGAGAAGGGGATTTGCTAGGATAAAGCAGCTACAGCCAGCAAATCCAAAGGCTGCCACTGCTGCTGCTGTTGAATAGAAAGAATATTTATTGAACAATTTCTGTCTCCTAGGAAGTAAGCTAAACCCTGCAAATGCATTCTTTCATTTTGTCTAATAGCCACATGAAGTAGCTACTATTATTTTCATTTTACAGATGGGGAAACTGAGGCTTTATGGTAAGGAAATTCATACAAGGCCACACAGCTAGCATTGCAGAGTCAGGACATACACCCAAGTCTGCCGGATGGGAGAATACCCGAATACAGGAGACACCACTCTCTTTGTATTGTCAGTCTAATGAAGAAGAACCCTTTGAGGAGACCCAAAGGCTAACGGTTAGGCAGTGGAATTTCACTGAAATGTCACTAAATAGATAACCACATCAGAGGGGAAAACTGCGGGAAAACTGGAGACAAGAGCCCATGATTTTAGGGACAGAATGCCATAAAACAAGATGAACTGTATAAATTCAGTCTAGCCAAGAGTTTTATTGTTGTGTTAGTTATTTTACTGTTATTGGTGTGGTGTGTTTTGCTTTTCTAGCAAATCGACAGGTGGATTTTTCATTAAATTGGTGTTACTGGTCCCTAGTCTCAGAAATTGGTTTGAAAAAACAACAACTACTCAATCTAGTCAAAAAACCATGAATAAGCGGTCACAACTTGCAGGAAAACTGTAGTTTAAAATGGCTATATGGCTGAATTAGATTATTCCTGATGGCATCATCCCATTTTCTTTTTCCTGGATTAACTTATATGTTTGCAAAAAATACGTACACCATTCAAGGAGAAAATTTCTGTTATAAAATTAATAAACTAAATAAAAACTGATGAAATAAATTGTTACTGAGCCAAGTAACATCAGAGAATCAGACAAATTTCATCAATAAAATAGGGTCACATTGAGAATGAAGGGGAACACACACTAGGTCAACAGGTATTAGGCAGGATGTTCCAGGCTAACTAAGACACGTGGTGACCACACTTATGGATAACGTAATTACAGCAACAAAGAAGCAAATAAAGAAATCTGCGGGTTTGGTGGGGACAAGGGCTTTCCGTCATCACAATTGGCTAAGGTTATTTCTGGGTTTCATTCATCTCAGTATTTTCAGTGCCTCGCACCTTGCCTGACATTTAGTAAGAAGTTGGGAAGTAATTTATGTTATTTCCTGTGTATGTTGATGAAATATACATACATGCACTCTACTGTGTGCGCCCGTGTGTGTGCATGTGCATGGGTGTGAACACACCCCCACATACATGCAGGCACGCACAATCTGCCCACCCAATATAGTGATCTGCAAACTAGGAGAAAAGAAGTATTCCTTTCCTCACTGACATTTGGAAGCAGAGCTTTCCGGACCAGCTCAACCTCACAATCTATATTGTCCTTCTAAATGGATTCCCCACAAGAAAAGTCAGAGACAGCAAATGCCTCCCCCACAATACAGATAAAATTTTCTGCTTAATTAGGCATTGACATGTTTACTATAACCTTTACAGAAGAGTAACTCGTGCTGGGAGACCCTTTTTGTCTGTCTTCCTCTGCAAAGCAGACTAAATCTCATGCACTGGAAAAGGTAAGGCATTGAAAAGCCTCATACAAAAAATGCCAAACATCTGTCACAGTGAGTGTATTTTAACAATGGCTGAGGAGGCTTTTTTTTTTTTTTTTTTTAAACACATTTCAATACTATACAACTCTTTACTTGGCTTAAGTGATTTTGTTCGCCATTGGCAGTTGGGGCAAGGGAGGAAAGGCAGCCAGAATAGGGGTCATCTGGGTAGATAATGAGTATCAGTCTCTCTATTGATGATTTGTTTAATAAGATTGCATCATGTGTAAGTCTTTGTATGAGTAGATGAGTGGCAAATTTATTCTTATGAATACTTATTTAATGAAGGAAAACTATCATAGTTATGCCAAAGCACAGCATGAAAGAACTGTTCTCTGTAGAACTTCCTTGTTGATTGGGGGTCCAAGATCAAACTTCAATATGGCAAAAATTTCCTTTTCGAACCTAAATTTCCAGTTTCATCCAACCAGCTTGACTCCGGCAACATGAGATGTCCTCATTCCTGGAACAGCTGATTCATGGGCAAACCCGGTCCATTCTTTGACTGAACTACTGACTCAAGAGACCATTTCTCTCCCACTCCATGGCCACTGCTCTAGCCTGGGCCACCATGTTGTCCGCTAGGTTGGACAATGAGCTTCCTGCTTCTGTTTCCCACAGTCTGCTCTTCAGGGAACTGCTAGAAGATTCTTTATAAAAGGGATCAGGTCATGATGCATGATGTGCCTCTGTTTTAACTCCTGCAGTGTCTTTCTGTTGCACTTATAACAAAATTTCAACCCTTAGCATGGTCTACAAGAGCCTGCAGGATGTGTTGTCGGCCAAGCTTCCTGCTCCTCTCTCAGCACCCACAGCCTGCTCTCCATGCCAAAGAAACAATGGTGTACTTGTTCCTCCTTGACCCCTCAAATCCTTCTCCTGACTGGGCTCTCTGTCACTGCAGTTTTCTGACCAGAAAGTTCTTCCTCTGCACCATCACATAGCAGGTTCCATCAAATCTCAGCTCTAATGGGCCCTTCTCAGTGAGGCCTTTCCTGACAGTCTCCCCTGCTCTGTGTAACCCTCCATCATATCACCCTATGGTGTGAAATCCCTGGAGCACTTACCAGACTCTGAAATAAGCCCACTTGTTTATTGATTAACGTCTTCTTCTACTAAAGGTAAGGTTAGAATATCTATCCCCATGCAGTCAGAATGTTCCTCCCCAGTGCTCAGTTTACATCCTGACACAGAGTGATGTCCACAAACTATTTGAATGAATGAATGAATGGATAATACAGTGAAAAGGATTATTCCAGCTGCAAACTGGCTGCATTCCTCAGCAGTGCAGTTGGTACCTCTGGTGGGTAAAGATCTCCCCACCCTCACCCCATGTGGATTGGATGTGAATTACAATCATCCTAATCAACTTCACTCAGTGATAAACCAGAGCATTGGCCAAGCGTGGAGGCTCACACTTGTAATCCCAGCATTTTGGGAAGCTGAGGTGGGTAGATCACCTGAGTTCAGGAGTTTGAGACCAGGCTGGCCAACATGATGAAACCCAGTCTGTACTAAAAAAATATGAAAATTAGCCAGGTGTGGTGGCACATGCCTGTAATTTCAGCTACTCAGAGCCTGAGGCAGGAGAATCGCTTGAACTGGGAGATGGAGGTTGCAGTGAGCCGAGATTGTGCCACTGTACTCCAGCCTGGGTGACAGAGTGAGACTCTGTCTCGAATAAAATAAAATAAAGTAAAATAAAAACAGAGCATCCCCATAAATCATCTTTTCAGAACAACCCAGCTACCAACTTCCTTGCTGCCCAACTTCTTTGAGCTGTGGATTTATACTTGTAAGTATGAAGGCTACAAATAAGCAACAAGACCGCAAAGCATCAGAATTTGTGCTCTTAATGTGAACAGACTTTGATTCAACAAAGACTCACACACGGAAACTTTGAAACTATGGACTAATTTTATCATGGATAAAGTCCATTAGCTGGTCTATGGTAAACAGCGTTATACATGTATTAGCAGATGTACATATTAGAGTAGTCTTCTCCTGAATTCTTCATTTTAAAAAGGAGAAATATTATGGGGAAGTATATATGCTGCATATGTTTTACCCTAATTGTATGTGGGTAAAAATTAGAAATAAATCCTTACATTTTATTTTCTTCCTAGAGAAATTTCTTTTTATATGAAAGGTTAATGGCTGGGTATGGTGGCTCACACCTGTAATCCCAGTACTTTGGGAAACTGAGGGGTGAGGATCACTTGAGCCCAGGAGTTGGAGACCAGCCTGTGCAACATAGCAAGACTGTTTCTACAAAAAATTAAAAAAAAAAATAGCCAGGCATCATGGTGCATGCCTATGGTCCCAGCTACTCAGGTGGCTGAGGTGGGAGGATCACTTGAGCCCAGAAGGTTGAGGCTGCAGTGAGCTGTGATCACACCACTGCACTGCAGTCTGGGTGACAGAGTGAGACCCTGTCCCCCCAAAAAAAAACAACAAAAAGAGGAAAACAATTATTTTAAAAAATATACCACCTCAATTGTTTCCAAACCTCTAGTCAGAATGATTTAAATGAAATTGTGCAAAATAATTCAAGGGTGGTGTGGCGTTAGATAGCAGACTTTTGCTAGGCATACGTTTCTGCAGTCACCTTGAAAACCCACAGTAGTGTTTACAGTAAAAACACTGACAGTTTTAAAAATGGCAGTAGAGGTGGAACCATTATAACATAAGAACAATTTAAAACTCAAGAAGGCTGATTTTTAAACACGAAACCAGAATTCAACCAAGACCTCATTTAAAATCATATCCGATGGTGACGGGATCATTTTCGCCAATCTACCCCTCTACATGACTGTTTAAAATCACAGAAAGATGCCACGGTGTTCAAGGCAGACATAAATGAGGGGATCGCGAGAATTTCTCGGCATGTACCCAGTAGGTACAAAAAATGATGACTCGGAATAAGAGCTCCCTGTCATGAGTTTCTAGCGTCTTGGTGACTGTGGTCTAAAAGTCTGTTAATATGTATATTATTATTGGCACTAATAGGCATGCATGTTGGCAGGCTGAGTAAAGAGATACAGGATTCAGTGTTCAAGGAAGCTGTGCTATTCTCCATGGTAGCCAGGCGGGGAGTGAGGGCCTCTTGGAGGGCCATGTGGAGGGATCTCTTTGCTTTTTGTTTCAGGACAGAGGAATTCTAGAGAGCTGTGGAATCCCTGTACCATTCCTGAGCACAGAATTCATTTACAGAGAATCCAGGTACCACAGGCCAGGGCCTAGCGTGTTTGCTGGCTGGAGAAGTTATCTACGTTCATGCACATTTTTAAACAGAAAAATATTCAAAAAGAAAAATAAAATTTGTGGTGTGTGGATTTTTATCCCTGGCATGCCACATGTAACATAAGTGTTACTTATATATACGGATTGAGAGAGAAGAGTTTGCTCCCTCCTCTGTCTGAATGTCAGAACCAAGCAAATAGAATTCTTTGTTTAAAGGACTGCTGGAGAAGGTGTGGGTACAGTGATGGGGGGGTCATCTTGAGCCCACCAGTATTCTGCAGTTTCTGGTGATCATCAAAACAACAGTATCTCTCTCTTTTTTTTCCCCCAATTTCCTGAAGATCGTTTGGTTAACTGGAATGTTTTACATGTACCTCGGATGCAAACCAGGTGGGGTGTATCTAAACACTTAATACACTCTTGCTGCAGTTTTCTTGGGCCGGCGTTACAGCTCTTTGGACTATGAAACGGTTTCTAATCACATGTTGTGAGTTTCTCCACTTTCTGGTTCTCGCTCCTATCAACGCTTTGACCCATTTCTTCATCTGTCAATCTCAAATAGGAATGACTATCCCAAGCCTGACTAAAAGATCCTATCAAGACAAAAGAGGAAGTGGGAGAGAAAGCGTATTGTAAACCCATACTATACAAGTAGGGTTGATGAACAGTATCCGCATCACCTGGGAGCTTGTTAGAACTGCAGGCTCTCAGCCCCACCCAGAGCCTACAGAATGGCAATCATTTAACAAGGTCCCTAGGGGATTCATATACTCAAGAAAGTTTGAGAAGCTTGGATGTAAATTGCAAAACTATTAATTAGTAGAGAGATATTTAGAGAAAATCTGCTTCTCTATGCCTGTGTTCACCAATGTATGTGAAAAGAGAACACACCTTTGAGGGTTTTCACCCCCTGCCCTCTCCAGAGACCAAGAGATGAAATGCCTATGGCTTAGATGGTTGCTCCCAGTTTATAGTGGAAAACACCAACCAGGAGAGAAATAAATAGCTGATTCAAGAAATGATCCATTAAAACAGGGTAGATAAGGTGTTCCCTCAGCCTTGGGGTCAGGTAGACCTTGGTTTGGATCTGCTACTGCTTAGTGTCATCTTGGGAAAATTACTGAAACTTTCAAAGTCACAGCTTCTTCATCTGCAAAATAGGAATAATAATAGCATCTACTTTTTAAGATGCTTAAGAGTATGGCATGTGATAAAGTTTGTGAAATACCAAGGTGGCAGGGCTACCTCCCAACTTCTCAGCCCTGTTCTAGGCACTTTGCAACCACTGTACATCTGATCTTCAACCTGAACCCACAGATGGCTGAAATCAGTTGAATCTTGCATTCTTTGCTATCCCTAAATCTTATCCCAAGCCAACAGCTTTTAGATGGTATTCACAATAGATAAGAACCAGCTTTGTTTATGTGTCTTGCATAAGAAAAGAGCTTCCTCCAGTTTGGGATTTGTTATTTAATATTAAATCACTTGTACAAGGAGCCAGCAGTATGTGTGCCGGTAACTGCCATAGAAGTGATGTACAAACATCAAATAGCAAGTTATTAGGTCATTACCCATAATGGTAATGTCTGCAATCCTCAAGAAATAAAGCAACCCACCATCTGAGGGAAAAGGTCTTTGTTAGAGGCCTCGGGTTCTGTATTGAGAGAGGTGACAAATGTTTAAAGCAGAAGGTCTTCAAGAAAAATGCTTTATATTCAGCTACCTAGAATTTCAGTCTAGCGTATATTGTTATTGAGACATGTCTTGGTGACAATTTAAAAAAGCAGAGTGAGAAAATATTCATGGAGAAGGGTGAGAAGGGGACCACTTCATAAGCTTTTTGGTAGCTCCAGTTTAAAAATCATTATCCTTACATTATCCTCATACACAGAGAGTCACAAATCAGAAACAGAGGAGAAAACAAAGTGAAACAAAACAGGAACGCAGGAACTACACAATAGAACTGAGACTTTCCTAGCAAATTAAGATTTTTAGGTGTTGATTTTTCAAGTGGTAGCAAGTATTTTCAGCAAGGCATGCATGCTTATTTTCTATACATTGATTCCACATAAAGATATATAAACACACTCACATACATATAGTTCCTTCCAAGACTGGAGAGGTTTTTTCCTTTCCTTTCTTTCTTTTTTTTAATGCCAAGAAAAGGGACGGTGAATCATTGTCCAAAACGACCTTCAGAAAGTATATGTAGCTGCTACACCATCTGTATTTTTTCAGACATATATTCCAATTTTACTTGAAATAACATCATTAGCACAGCCATCCCACAGAGCTAGAAGGTGATCTTGTTTCTTTCTTGCCTGGCTTGAAGTCAAACATCTTTTCTCTTTTTTGGCAAATGCTGCTTCTCTCTCTGAAATATTTCATGCAGATAATGGATAATGACCACTTCTCATTGCCGTTTCTCGAAAATGTCTAACTGCATTAGCCAAGAATGGACAAATCTTAACCTGCTTTCTTTGCTAAGTTCATGGCTGTGACCACTTCCCACTAAGAAGAAAGAAAGAAGAAAGAAAGAAACAAAAAAGGAAAGGAAAGGAAAGGAAAGAGAAAAAGAAAGAAAGAAAGAAAGAAAGAAAGAAAAGAAAGAAAGAGAGAGAAAGAAAGAAAGAGAAAGAAAGAAAATCCAACTGTTTTCTCAGAAAAGCTACACTGGCACTGCCAAAAAGAAAAGTAAAGCTGGACTTTACTTTTCTAGAAGAATCACAGGAGTCTGAGGTGGGAAAAATTTTCATGTCATTGGTCCAATTTCTCAGTCAGGGAAGGGCTTCCTGGCCTTGGTATCCTTAAGTGGTTGAGATACTTGACTTTTCAACCTTTCTTCTTCATGTTAGACTCTCTACCAGCACAGTCATTGTGACTAGCCTGCCATGAGGACCACACTGTATGGAAACCATTTCTATTCCTTACACTTAGGAGCTGAGTGTGTTTCCATCACAGTACAATCTGATCAAATCAAAGGATTGGGGAGAAGTTTCAGTTTAAGTTTTTATGATATTCTTTCGTTTCTTCATCAATACTTCCGTCAAGTTCTGCTCAGCATGTGCCTGAACTTGCACGCAGTGATGACTCATACATGAGTGCAATGACCTGCCTGGTTTCCATCTCACTACCCCATCACTGTCCATTTCGCTTAGGACTTGAAAGCCAAAATTATCCTCCCTATTCCCTAAACTCATCAAATTCTTTCCTTCTTCGGGGGCCTTGAAATTCCATTCCCTCTGGTATATGACTCCCCCTTTTCCTATATCTCTTTCCTTTTAGTCTCATTCTTTTAGTTTAAGCTCCAACGCTCTTCTTCAAAGGGGTCATCTCTAATTACTATACCCTCTTCACGTACTCCTCCCAAATTACCCACAGCCAAAGTTATTTTCTATCTCAGCCCCCCCATTTTTCTTTTGTGTACCTTATTTCAATTTGCAATTGTACTTGCTATGTACTTGATTGTCCTCTAGGTAAGACTGTAAGCTCCCTGAGGGCAGGTCAAATCTATCTTGTTTGCCACTGTATTCCATTGCAATACAGAGCCCACCTTGTTCAAATAATTGTTGGAGATATGAATAAGTAAATGAATGATTGAACCCATAAGTGAATGAGTGATTGCATCAGTGAAGGATGGTTTTCTATCCAACCCTTAGATTCTATCTAAAACTTAGATTTTACTCATTGGTCCCAATTTGCTTTCAAGCCATAGAAAACAACAACAAAATATCTTTTTAACAGAATATTGCTTTGGATAGTTGAAGTGTCTATATGGGTTTAGACTCACAGGGTGGGTTACTCCCTCTGGGAAGCAGATGAATCAGGTACAGGTGTGATGTGAATTCAGGAGCCCTCAATTGTAATACCTTTTACTCTCTGCTTATTCTTGCCTTAAACACAACTTGGCTTATGTTCATCTGGCATGAGGCATAGCAAGAGCTTATCCCCTATAAGAATATAAAAACTTAATCTCTTATCTCGCCTTTGCACTTCAGGGTGAATGAGTTAATCAGATCATGATTTTTGGCAGCTGGTTTCTTCTAGAGAAGAAAATGGGACCCCTGGAGCTAGCTAGGTCACCATTGTACTCTTTACTGGGTAGTTCTGGGGTGATTTTTGTTCCCCAGGGGACATGTACCAGTGTCTGAGGACATTTTTGGTTGCTATACCTAGAGAAGTGCTGTTGCTGGCATCTGATAGGTAGAGGCCAGGGATGCTGCTAAACATCCTATAATGCACAGGATGGTCCTTACTCAAAGAATTATTCAGCCTCAATACATCCATAGCTTAGAAATGCTGCAAAGTCAAAGTCAGCTAATGCTTTGGGAACTTATGACAAGAAAGGATGACATTCATGCCCTTTCTAGTTGTCAACGAAGCAGGGGTCTGCACAGAGAGGAACGCTCTGTTATTAAAAGAGAACTATTAGGTTGCTACAAAAGTAACTACTTTTAACG